TATGTTCCCCCCCCCCCCCCCATTATGTACTGCATAATAATAATATTCATAATAAAGCAATTAAATAAGAATTCTAAAATAAGTTCTAGGTTTGTAGTTATTTATGTAGAGTTTAGATGCAAAAGCCTCCAAGTGCCATCTAAAATTTTCTTCTAAAATGGTTATTTTATCAAGCTCCTATGTTTATGTTCAGTTATTTTACAAACCCAATTCCATAAAAGTTGGGACACTGTACAAATTGTGAGTAAAAAAGGAATGGAATCATTTACAAATCTCATAAACTTATATTTTATTCACAATAGAATATAGATAACATATCAAATGTTGAAAGTGAGACATTTTGAAATGTCATGCCAAATATTGGCTCATTTTGGATTTCATGAGAGCTACACATTCCAAAAAAGTTGGGGCAGGTAGCAATAAGAGGCCGGAAAAGTTAAATGTACATATAAGGAACAGCTGGAGGACCAATTTGCAACTTATTAGGTCAATTGGCAACATGATTGGGTATAAAAAGAGCCTCTCAGAGTGGCAGTGTCTCTCAGAAGTCAAGATGGGCAGAGGATCACCAATTCCCCCAATGCTGCGGCGAAAAATAGTGGAGCAATATCAGAAAGGAGTTTCTCAGAGAAAAATTGCAAAGAGTTTGAAGTTATCATCATCTACAGTGCATAATATCATCCAAAGATTCAGAGAATCTGGAACAATCTCTGTGCGTAAGGGTCAAGGCTGGAAAACCATACTGGATGCCCGTGATCTTCGGGCCCTTAGACGGCACTGCATCACATACAGGAATGCTACTGTAATGGAAATCACAACATGGGCTCAGGAATACTTCCAGAAAACATTGTTGGTGAACACAATCCACCGTGCCATTCACCTTTGCCGGCTAAAACTCTATAGGTCAAAAAATAAGCCATATCTAAACATGATCCAGAAGCGCAGGCGTTTTCTCTGGGCCAAGGCTCATTTAAAATGGACTGTGGCAAAGTGGAAAACTGTTCTGTGGTCAGACGAATCAAAATTTGAAGTTCTTTTTGGAAAACTGGGACGCCATGTCATCCGGACTAAAGAGGACAAGGACAACCCAAGTTGTTATCAGCACTCAGTTCAGAAGCCTGCATCTCTGATGGTATGTGGTTGCATGAGTGCGTGTGGCATGGGCAGCTTACACATCTGGAAAGGCACCATCAATGCTGAAAGGTATATCCAAGTTCTAGAACAACATATGCTCCCATCCAGACGTCGTCTCTTTCAGGGAAGACCTTGCATTTTCCAACATGACAATGCCAGACCACATACTGCATCAATTACAACATCATGGCTGAGTAGAAGAAGGATCCGGGTACTGAAATACTCACACTCACTCACTCACTCACTCACGCACGCACACACATATCTCTCTCACTTATTAAAAACGCTTTGATCTGAAAGCTTGGCTTAATGCTTGAAGCTGAATTTGAAGACAAATGCAAAATGGTATAAATATTTATTTACATAAGACCCCCCCCCCCTTCCTCCCACTCACACTCACACTCACACACACACACACACTCTCTCTCACACTCACTCACACACACACACTCTCACTCACACACACACACACACACACTCTATGGAGCAAGCCACGGAATAAAAGAATAAAACATGTAATTTTGAGTTTATATTTCAAAATTCGGACTTTTTTTCTTTCAATTCCGAGATTATATCTCACAATCCTGGTAAGAAAAATCAACTCATTCTTTCCTTTTCGTTTATAATCCCGCACTTCTGGCTTTCCCCCTCAGAATCGACAAACTCGCAATTGTTGAGTTGAATCAAGTTCTAAAGTCCGAACTAAGAGATATAAACAGAAAAAAGTCAGACGTGTGGAATAAAATAGTTAAATGTTATAGGTTTAAATAGTCCTTCATTTCAACTGTAGGGCTGATACAGTATGCCCCTGTATGAACATTATATAGACCTGTTGTTTAACTCGGTGACGGGCAGACTTGGTTAGCTGGCTCAGCTGTGTTTGATTAGAGCTGGAGCGAAACGCTGAAGGAAGTGGCCTGGTTTAAAGCTAACGTGTGCTTTAAAAGTAGGGTAATCACAGCAGGTTTCCTCCAGAGTCCGTCCGTTTAAAGGTCTGCGTTTAGCTTCAAATGGCGTCGTTGACGGCAGGATTATACACAAATGATTAGCATTCCGATTCTGACAGCCAAAGACACAACAATACACTCGTTCTTATTCCCTGGTTTCCCCCCGCTTCCCTCCACTTGCTCCCAGTGTTTTTCTGCCACCAGCACTGCAGCCGCAAGGGATGTAACTGTGAGGTCTGCTCCAAATCGGTCTGTTATGTGTTATAGTTACGGGACTTTTATTTTGGCAGGACTGCAGCCCGTAACAGAAAAGCTCGTGACTGACCAGATGACTCGGTTTAGAGAGTCACGTGCGCAGTGCTCTCTAAGCTCTGGGTGTGAGACAGAAACATTCATTTAGACAGCTGCAGTGGTGTTCCTGCGAGCCTGTGCTGACATGAACGGTTTGGTTTACTTCATTCACGCGGCGCTGCACTGTTGCATTGTGGGATATGGACAGCAGGTCTGGCCAGAGCCTTACAAGTGAGTCGCACTGTCAGCAGGCACTCATGTGTGCATATTGTCTGTTTTTAATGGTTTATTGGTTTCATTTTTTTCAGTTAGTAGGCTATTCAAATATTAATATGAAAATTAATCCCACTATTTGAATGTTTAACTAATGATTTCCTACACGCATACAGTTATACAAGAACTTATAGAGCCAAAAGTATTGGGACACTCCCTTCTAATGAACAGGTTTGACTACTTTAGTCATTTCCACGAGCACTAATCTGAATGTGTAAGCATGTAATGATGTTCAAGGCAATTGTGTGCTTCTAATGTTATAGCAACAGTTTGAACAGGACCCTTTTCTATTATCATCAACGACAATGACCCCGTGTATAAGACAAGCTTCAAAAAGAAAAGATTCAGTCAGTCAGTCAGTCAGTGTGGAAGAGCTTGACTGGTCCTTATCCCAGCTGAACACCTCTGGTGTGACTTTAAATGCAGACCTTGAGCCAAAAACTCATCATTTGCTATAACATTAGAAGCACACGATTCCCTTGGATATCATTACATGCTTAAACATTAAGATTTGTACTCATGGAAATGACTAAAGTAGTTCATTAGAAGGGGGTGTCCCGATACTTTTGGCAGTATCTCCAGTGAAAAACGACTCCACGGTTTTATTCTGATAAATGTTAATTTTGTTATATGCCATGCACCAACCCAGTGTCATATCAATTTCTAGGCGACTCGACAGGCGTCCAGATGTTGATCCCTACTGCCAGGCTTTATACCCATTCTGCCCGAGCGGGGATCCAGACGGCCGGATGCCCGTGATGAGAGACTCGGACATCATCTCGGTGTTCAGACTGCAGACTCCGGTGTGGGAGTTCAGATATGGAGACACGCTGGGAAAGTTTGTAAGTGAATAGCAGACCGCTGGCCTGTAAGAGTTTGCTCACTGGAGTCTAACTGAAGGTTTCGCACTGTTCAGCATGTCATGCATGATGCTGTTGGCTTTGCAAGCGCAAGAACGGGCAGAAACTTCACCTTGGAGTGGTACGAGCTGTTTCAGCTGGGGAACTGCACTTTTCCGCACGAGAGGGCGAGCGTGAGTGCACCTTTCTGGTGTAATCAGGGAGCCGCGTGCTGCTCTGACGGCATCGATGACGTTCACTGGAAACAGAACGGCACTCTGGAGAAGATCGGAGAGATTTCAGGTAAGCCTGGCGTACACTCAGTTTAAGGACCAAACAATACTATTAATTATAGTAATATGTATTATAATATTTATTTTTATTATTATTATGCACACACGCATGTCCATGTTTTCTGGGTATATTCCATAGGCATGATGATTTTTATACTGTAAAAACTGTATTTTATATCCCCTTACCCTAAACCTACCCCTCACACAAAACTTTCAGCATTTTTAGATTTTCAGAATAGATAAGACATTCTGCGGGATTTACAGTAAAAGCTGTTTTCCTCATGAAGACCAAAAAATGTCCCCACGAGGACAAAAGGATTTCAGATATTGCCGCCATCTTTGGAACATTTTGTCCCCATAATGAAGGGAACACCAGGACGAAATAATAATTAATTATTCATATATATATTATTTCATGACCAAACAGTAGTATTTTAACAGTAACATTTTATTTTTATATCATATACAATTTCTATTATTAGAATAGGGGGGGGGGGGGAACAATAAATAATTTTTAAACATTTTTTCAAAATTAATTATTCATATATATATTATTTCATGACCAAACAGTAGTATTTTAACAGTAACATTTTATTTATATCATATACAATTTCTATTATTAGAATAGGGGGGGGGGGGGCAAAGTAAATAATTTTTAAATA